ACCCCAGACGAGAGTTGTGCCGCCGGGGTTGCATTACTCCTCGCTGCGGCTCGTTTCTCTCCCCGTGTCCCCGCAGGGCAGGGTAGCCGTTGCCACGGCAACAGCCACAGACAGATCACTATCATCTGGCCGTTTAGGCCTGAGTGCTCCGACCTCTTGTCTTGTCCTGTTGGACACAGCGGCGGTCGATGAGGCTGGACGCCTTAATCCTCCCTCCCTGATTGGTCCACATGGAGTTTTCACCGTGTTTGTGTTCTTTGAGTCGAGGCCAAATGGGAAACGAGCGGAAGAGAAATACCTTCGTCGAAGCCTAAAGACCTGGACGATGTATCAGATAAACACAGGTGGAACGTCGGGTTCTGAGATTGAAACAAAACAACGTTTCAAAATTAATTATCTCAAATGGTCCAGTTTCCCCACTTCATTTTGCTGATTTATTATTTACAGTATTTTCTGTAACAGCAAAATAACCCTTAATGTCAGAGTCTTGAACTGAATCAGTACCAGAACTGATCCGATCTGGATCCTGTGTTTGTGTCCTCGACACTGTGCTGACAGAAGGTGGTTGTGGCAGATCTTTGGGGCAGGTGTTTGGGGCAGGTGTTTGGTTCCGATTCTTGGTTGAAATGTCCAAACTCACATCTGTGTCAGAACCAGGTTCTAAACAGGAAGTGGAACGAGATGAGGGAAGATTTGTTGGCTGTTCTGGGCCTTGAACTCTGAGACGATCAATCAGAAGGAAGGGCGCAAAGGGTCACCAGTAGGGGGCATTATTTTCACCTTATGCCACCGTTGGCCTCCTCTAGTGTGAATTTGATTTACATTATGAACTAATGGAGGTTTTTATTTCGGAACATTCTTAGAAAGATCTTAAATCTGAATCTGCTCTTGTTGTAAAAAAAAACAAAAGAAAAGAAAAAAACAATCCATCCTGGCAGATTCCAGGCCTGAGCAGAGCCCAGACTTTGGCAACAACAATCTTTGCAAACCAGAGTTTGCAGTTTGAATAAGAAAATGTAAACAAAATTTGTCTACTTCCTGTTTGACTCCGGGGCCTGTAACCACATGTTCCTCCTCTCGCTGCCTGAGAGACTGATTACAAACCCCTCCAATTCACTCGCTTTGAGAAGAAAAAAAAAAAAAAAAGTCAAATCTTGACACTTTCATAGCGAAACCTAATCTGGGAACTGTGACTGCAGGGTTGTCGGTTCAAACCCATTAAGGCTCTGGGAGTGTGTTTGTGATAAATCTCTGCCAAGATGCATTAAACCGGAGATGACTTCCAGTTCTGCCGCAGCTGAAGTCGAGCTGCACGACAACATTAGTGTCTGTTTACATGTCAGTGGTGAGGCTC